TGTCTCGTCCTCCTAATTACTCTCAGCTGTGCTCTCCTCCTGTGGCTCATTCCCCCTCGTTATCCCTCAGTGTATTTAAGCCCCATGTGTCTCTTTGTCAGGGTGGCGTCCTCCCTCATAGCTGTGTGAGTTTTCCCCTGTGGCTCCTTGTGCTTTAGTTTCCCCAGTTTAGTTTTGTGTTGTTTTTCGTGTCCCACTCCACGCCAGCAATAAAGCTGTGTTTTTTGAGTTTACTTTTTGTCTCTGCGAGTTTGCGTTTGGGTCCTACTCTTGCCTGCACACAGCTGTATTGTGACAGAAAATTTGGTTGTCATATAATGTGTGTGTGTGTGTGTGTGTGTGTGTGTGTGTGTGTGTGTGTGTTATGTGTATATATCTGCAGATAAAGCAGTTCTGCATTCCCCAAAGTGCAGCAGATGTCCCAGATAGAGTGATCAAAGAGTGTGATTATAATGTATTAATGTAATATTGCCACTTAGATAAGCATGTTAGGTGTCTGTGGCTGTTGTGTGTGTGTGTGTGTGTGTGTGTGTGTGTGTGTGTGTGTGTGTGTGTGTGTGTGTGTGTGTGTGTGATAATTCCACTGCTATCATTGTACAACACATTACTGTTTGTTGAAGTGTATTTTATACACAAACCTGCACATTTCTGCATCACACATGCACAAACACAAAAATGCTCTCTTTCTGTTATTTGTGTGTTCTGGCTCGACACAGTCTGAATATCTTTAAAAGTTTTCCTCTACCTATGTCACCATGCTTTTTCAAGATTACTGAATTGTACCTGTACATTTTCACCATGCAGTAATGACAATGCCAATGTATTTTATTTCATGATTATGTTTTTAAGCTCTTTAGATATCATGCTTTATAAATCTCTAAGACAAATCACCCCTCAAATATCCAGATCTAAATGCTGCAGATACCATTCTGTGCATTTTAGCAGTAAATCAAAGACGATGTACATTAATTAGACTGCTTATGTTGCCCCCTGCAAGCCACTTTGGACCCCAGCTTCTAATCCATCATCAGTGTCTTGTTTGTTGTCATTAATTGCCTAGTGTGTGCTGTTTTGGTGGTCTTGATATTGCTCTTAGAGCCAAGCCACCAAAATTGCTACACATGAAATCCTTTTAACAAGTGGTTGTGACCAAAACTCAAAATCTTAAATATCTTATCTAATCAGCCAATCATGTGCTGCCATGTGCATTTCGATATGGTAAAAGCAACCTGCTGAAATTCAAACTGAGCATCAGAATGACAAAGAAAGGTGATTTAGGGAACTTTGAAAGTGGCATGGTTATTGATGCCAGATGGGCTGTTCTGAGCACTTCAGAAACTGCTGATCTACTGGGATTCTCCTGCACATCCATCTCATGAGTTTACAGAGAATGGTTTGAAGAAGAGAAAATGTCTAGTAAGCAGCAGTCCTCTGGGTAGAAAGGCCTTGTTGATGCCAGAGGCCAGAGGAAAATAGAAATACTGCTTTAAGCTGATGGGACGGCAACAGTAACTCAAATAACCACGTGTTACAAGCAAAGTATGGAGAAGACCATATCTGCTTCACATGAGCTCACCAAAATTGGACAAGAGAAGATTGAGAAATATTGCCTGGGCTGATGAGTCTTGATTTCTGTTACGGCGTTCAGATTGTGTGGCGTAAACAGCATCTATTCTGTCTTGTATCAACAGTTCAGGATGATGGTGTAATGATACAGGCACCTTAATAGCAGTCGAGTATAGTTTAAACACCACAGCCTACCTGAGGATCGTTGCAGACCAGTGAATGTATGCATCCCAGTGTTTAAACGGTTCATATTTGGAATTGTAAAGAAGGCAAAGTTGAAATTGTAGCAGTATCAGTTTGAGTCACACTTGGACGACCTGTGCTGCAATGATGTTAATCTATATTTATTGGGGGGATTTTTCCCCATAAACCAGCTTTTATCTTCAAGAGGAACAACTAAAACCTCGCCCAATGTTTTCTTGTGTTTTCAGAAAACCTAATACACAGTATACTATGTTATGCTACATCCAGTAAGCTCCCCGTTTTGTTTTAGCTGCCTGAAAACTAAGTTTGGGGAAAAAAATCACAGGGAGAAGATGAAAACACCATGTTCTACTTTCTGTCTCATTAGGGTGAGAGGGGAACGAGGAAGAAAGAGACCCGAGTGCGGAGGGGATGGAGGGCGATGGGTAGAAGTAGTCAGGGGCTGCTGGGACTGTTTGCATTCAGCTCTTGTGGTGTGATAAAGAGGTGTGTTATGGACATGTAACCTTGTTTCCATTGATTACACTCCTCACCTGCACGGTGTTGATTGGAGCAGACCTCTCAACACGGAGCTCATGCATCAATGTTAAGCCCATTATCGTCTCGTGGGCTTCTACGAGCCACACCTCTCTTTCCTGTGCTCTGATGCTGCGAATACTGTCTGTTTATACGTGCATAATACAACACAAGACACACCTTGGCCACCAAAAGTATGTTGAAAGTAGATTGTTTACTGCACAGTAAATATACATACTTACAAATGGGAATCATACAATCCATGTACACTGATGCATAATCGCTGCTTTAGCTGTAATTATCTAAATGTTTGTTACAGTCTGGCAAAACTTTGTTTTTACTGTCGTTTCTCATCACTTACCTGCTCTGCTTTAAGCACTCAACACACCAATGCACTCCAGCAAACACAGTCGAATCCCTCTCACGTGTACGTTTTCGATGAGTTAATTTTTGTAACTGTTTAAAACTGACAGTCCATCGTTGAGTGATTAAGCAGGAGGCAAGACGCTCCCGGCAAAACACCCTAAATGGGTGGCCTTCAAGCGTAGCCGTTTTAAAAACACGGGGTTCGTACGGTTTCTGGAAATTCCCTTAATTTTTTTCTTGTAGTGTCGTCGAGGAAAAGATGGATGGATTTTAGATAAAATGTTCAAAGCTTAAAAAGGTAAATGCTTTCATAATAAACAACCATCTGAACAGTACAGGTTGGATGATGTAGCCTCAAAATGATGTCATGGTGATGTAGGAAAAAAATGAAAATCACCAACAATGTTTTATTGGTGATTACAGTTTGAAGGCAGCAGCATTTATACGTGTAAGTAAATGAAGGACGTTTTCCATCCTTGTCATTGATGACAGACTGCCTAATTCAAAGTGTGAAGTCATTGCCACGAGGTGCGAGCAGCAGTAGTGCAACAGCGACACAGCAAGTCATATACAAGCACAGTAATATTGTTTTCAATGGGAATTTTAAGCCTTTAAAGCCTAAATTATAAAATAATAATAAAATATAAATTTGCATATATGATTTTTAATTAGTATCATATTTGGTAAATCTGGCACTTCATTGCTTAAAAGTGTATTGTGGAACTTATGCTTTTCAGTGGGGAAAAGATCAGTCTGATGATGGAAAAGTCTCAAAGTAAATAACGTAACCGCTTAACATTTCAGTAACTTAGTCTTGCAACTTCTCAGCAGGTGCACAACATTGTCACATAATAAAATAAACATTTTTCAATTTAAGTCAAGCTTTCTAACCTGTTTTTCTGCAGTCGCACATCATCCTGCCGCTCGTGTCTCTTCATCTGTCCTCGTGTCCTGGTTGTACTCAATGGTGGGTTTTCAAGTGGTGAAACAAGTTTGTTTTTTCCACCACTGGAAAATATGCAATAAAACTGTTCCCTGCTAAAGTATTGTAGTTTGTTGGAGGTTGTTTTTTGTGTACTAAATTCTCATTAGAGAATCACTTGCAGCTCCTTCTCTCTGAGACGTCTGCTTGTCTCCTTATGCGAGCTAGGGAACGTGGGAACCTAAGCACATGGTGCCACAATATCAGGTAAAAATTTACACCAGATTTATCGTGTACAAAATGCTATACCACGGCCGTGCTGAAGTTTTTTTTTTTCTTTTGTATTAACTGTGAGAACAGGTTAAAATACTTCATGCTAATGAATGCCAAAAATCTGAACAACTCAGAAATATAGCGATTATTTAAACAGCATAAGAAGTGCATTTTTTCATGTATTATTTTCATCTGCAGACTGAAACACATTTCATATTGTTGAAAACATTCATGGCCGCTCGCTGTGCTTCTCTCCTCTGTAGTGCAGTGACAGTGTTCATTGTAAAACAGATAATGAAGAACGAGTCACCGACTGTCCTTTTTCTATTTAAAGATTTCAGTCACATATAGATAAACTGCATTATTATACATAAGCAGGGCTTGTTTTTGTTGCCTTGAATGATAAAAATCATGTAATACTACTTAATATTTTTGGTGAATCAAATGATGCGTGATGATTTGAGCTAATGAGTTCCCAGCCGCTGAAGAAAGACATGCACTAATGAGTGACATTTTGCAGTTTGGAGAATGAGTGCTGAGAGTCTGGTTTGTTGAAATGAGGTCCGTGGTTTGGGGGCTTTGGTCGGAGTCCAAACAGCGAAGCTTTCTCGGGTGTTTTAATGATGGCGGTTCTCAGAGCAAGGGGCTGGATTTATCATCCAGGCCAGAGATTTAAAGCATATCTTTCTTTTAATTTGGTCTCATGCACATAAACACACTTGCACACTGATAGTTTTTGACTCATCAGTACTCAAAGGATTGATTTGCAGAGATGTAACATACTGTATGATGTGGGTTTATCACTAAGCTGCATAATTACTTTCCATGTGTTTACACATCTGACTTCAAAGTCTTTGTTTGTTTGTTTTTTAGGAGTATGGGTTTTCCAAAGCCTGTGCGTCTTATTAAATGAAGCATTATGCGAAACATATCCCTTGAAATCATTATTTCTGCACACATCACTTTGATACACGTATAGTGTTGCTTTGAAGCTAAAAGCGTTTGCTCCGTGTCCCTCATTCCCTCTCTTGTTTTCTTTCCCCCCATCATGTCTTTTTTCTTTCACTTCTTTCATGCCCTGTCTAGTCTGTTACCCAACTCATCCCACTAATGCTTTTCTCTTCACTTTCTCTGTCTCTTTTCTTTTCCTCAGTGGGGCGTTTGTTGATCGAGTTCAGCTCCCAGATGACGATGGAACGAGTGCAGAAAGAAAATCCCAATGTGACCGAGGGAGGCCGATACACGCCTCCAGACTGTCGGCCCAGATGGAAGGTCTGTAGATGCATCGCTATTTGTATTTCACAACATTTGAATAAACTATATTTCACATTGTACGGTAAATATATTCTAGCAGAAGTCAGCTTCTGCCAGTATAAAAATAAAAGATGAGATTTAGTGCCTGATAAAGTGCCTGAGACTTGGACGAAGTCACAATGATGAGGTACTAAACAAAAATGTTGAAATAGACAAAATTATGAAAAGCTAACACAATACAACATACCCAATTTAAAATGGTACAGACTGTTATTTCATTTTTTTATGAGGTGTTGACTCAGAGTTCGTAGTTTGCTTTGAAGACGGAGAATTGTCTGGAAACTCGCTGAGCGATACTGAAATTTGAATAAGTAACTAACTTGTTCTAAATGGTGCAACTTTTATTTTGAAGGGGAACGTTTGTTTGGGCTTGAGTTGAAACTACAGGCAACCACAGCAGTTTGCTTGGGTTACCCTTAGCAACCAACTGGTGAATGAATACACATTTTCCCAAGTAACCAGTGGTTACTAGGGGATCACCATCTGCATGACTTAGTCCATAGTCAGGCTTTCTTTGCATTACCTTGTTAAATAAACCTTTTAACCACAGTCTGAGATAACTGTTTTCATATCGGTGGTTATCAACTTTCTCTCTTAACTCAGGTTTTCTGCTTCAGGCTCTCTGTGAGCGCACATAAAATGCGTGATGCTTTCAAAAAGAATGGGTGAAACATTTTATTTCATAGCATTTATAGATCTTCTGACAGCTAAAGGTAACACTGGTCAAATGTGATAGTTGAATATTAGCGATTTGAACCTTTAAACATTATAGGCTACAGACAGAATTCAGATCTGACACTGACCTTAAGTTCAACGTTCGCTAACGTCTCGGTTTCGTATCAGCCACTGAGCTGCTTGTATAGGAGCACTGGCACACCAGGTGGAGCAGTGCCACCAGGGATCGTGGCATTGCTGATGACCACGATACCCATCTTCACTTCAACACCTGCAAGAAGACTAAAAACACAAACACGCATGCAGAGATGCGGCAGAGAAGATCCTCAGACAGTCAAAATTTGAAGTTAATATATATATCACAAAAATTGTTACTCACCTTTTCTTTACTGATGTTCTCATTTAACTTTGATTGATCAGCTCTCTTTTACTGGAGTTCATTTTCACTTTTACTGGATTTAAATTAATGGAGACAAATGAAACATTGCTATATTGGTGTGGAGGGCAGCTTTTTTGAGAACTCCCTAATTTCAGCATTTTCAGTGTTTGACTTTCTCCTCTACATGACACCTCTTTGAGTATCTGGGCAATTTCGGTGCTCAACTATACAGAAACCAAGGTTAGTTTTCTGCCAATCTTCATCTGAACACAAAATTACCATGAACTCA